GGGAGTTCTTTCTAAACTTTCTTTGATGACAAACTGTAACGAGAAATCAAAATGATTATATTCTCAAGAATCAATAAAAATGCCAACATGTAAGCTTAAACAGCTAACACCATCCACATATAATAAAACACCCTTGGTCAAATGACACAAGAGATAATGTACAAGGGATAACAGCAACTATTTAATTGGTGTACATGATATTATAAATACAGCGGGTGTACGAGCCCGAATATTAGCAATCAAGGCATGTGTGAATTTGTGATTCTGCTGGAATATATATAGCATACACTATCAGCAGAAAGATCATTGCAATGGTAGGAAGTGAACAGGTTTTGTCATTACCAGCAACTTGTTGCAAGTACATGGTCAATGACAGGTCCTCGGCCAGTAAATAAACATTTTGGATTTTTGCTGTAAAAGACATCTCGGATTATGCTAGTCCAGAGATTTACTATAATCCACCAAGGAAATGTGGTGCATCCCCCTGGAGAAAGCGTGTTTACCCTCCACATGGCAAATAAAAAATTGTGGCAGAGTATCTGATCTTGAGGTCACAGTATTGCCACTAGATCCCTAGCTGCTTGCCCCGATGGACAAGATAGTGGTAGAGAGTGTATACAGGGCACAAGAACACACTCATCCCCATCTTGGACCAGACAGCTGGTGGCATCAAATGTATAAATAAGATAAATGGAATGTACCGGTAACACTGATGTCAATGTCAATCCTGTTAGCCAAATATGATTGACATAAAGTGACTGTCGTATTTAAACTTTCATTGAAATAAAATAAAACAAAGAACAATGACAATACTTGTACAATTTATGAAATTGACAATAAACACAGGTCCCAAAAACAATAATTTTCTCTGAGGAATCACATTTTCCTTTATTCTTTTAAAATCAAAATTTGCATATTTTTTTATTCCCACTGACAATGGCATTAATATTCATTAGCAACAATTACAGGACTTTCAAAATCTTGCATGATATATCGTATTTGCTCCATTTTATATTTATTATATAGTTAAAATAAATCATGTTTTAAATATTCAAGTACACAATAAAAGAACTTTTTCTTGTTTACATGTGCTTCTATTTGGAAATCCACTTCTAATAGAACATGGAATGTGATGGAAGACAATACCATGAATTCCAAACATGCATAACTCTCTGAGGATAGGGAACACACATTCACTTGCACTGATGACGGAACATCCTGGATGATTGTTAATTTCCATTTAAAGGTTGAGTTTTGCAAATAGGAATAAGCAAAAAAACTGAAAAACCCAATCTGATGTTGCGTTTAAGGTAGAAACCTATTCATAAATTAAATAACCAGAATTTATTCATTTTGCAATAAACTGTACTCCAAGGCAATATAAGGATTTTAAAAAAGTTGGGGGTCACCAGCCTTTTTTTCGTTAAATTGACAGTATTATAACACTTTTACCACAGGTAATGGCAGAGATATTATGCAATATCTCAAAATCTAGCCTGGTGACATAGGCTGAAAAAAATATTATATTGATAATAATGAAGTACTTTTTGTTGTTCTGAATTATTTAAAAAATCTGGGTTTTAAAAAAAGTGTCAAAAAATTTTTCTTTAACATACGTGTTCTATGAAATTGTTCTAAAAATAGCAATTTTCAAGAAATATTAGGACACGTTTCTCAAAAAGCATAACTGTGACACACAAAATAATGCTATTTCATTGTACCATGAGACATTAGCTTCATGATTGTACATAATAAACATTGTCATGCAATTTATGACCAATTTTGTCAAAAATTATGACTAGGCTTCTACCTTAATCAATGGTCACAGAGTTATGGCCGCTGAGAAGACATGCATCAAACTACATCTGACCATGAAACTATGTATATGCAAATTGCATTTGGCAGATTTCCTCTCACAATATGAGTCAACTACCTTACTAAAGCGGGATGTGTTGTTCTATAAAGTGGCCTGTAACAACAATTCTGACTTTAACATTATTTGCATAGGTCGTAAAGTCTGATTAGAGGTGTGTTCACTGTCAACCTGGTCTCTAAATCGACCAGAGAGCTTCCACGCACATCACACTATTTTAATATTAGACAAACCAGTAACTGGCATTAAAATTAGTAATTTTAGAAATTTCTTCCTTCAGCACAATAACATATCTTACCTTTTTGTTTTTGGCATTTCTAACCAACTATGAATCAATACTACTCAGAAAAATGATTGTAATTAAAATCATTGGGAGGAAACAATTTTATTTTAAACTTAAATGTAAACCCTATACAAAAATGTGATTATACAATGGAGTGAGGACAGAACAGCATGACCATTTTTTGACTAGGGGAGGAGGGGGGGGGGCAAGCATACATGCCTGTGATGTTGCATTGTTTGTTGTGTTTGCATCAACTTCTAATGCCTATAATTAGAAAGTGATGTAATAACGTGTGTATCACACGTCTTCAAATTTTTCATTAAATTGAAGCAAGATATTTTCACCTTCAAGATATCCAATAATAATTTAGGATACAATATATTAATTGATTATGCTATACAATGTTTCATTGCAAAAAAATCCCAAATTTATCAATGATGTTAATATCTGAAACAAAGTATACAAGTCTATAAAAATTGTCAAAATTTGCAGACAATGCCCTTTCAATAGTATCTCTGAAAGCCAGCTTTCCAAGCATCAATCCACAGGAATACCATTAGACCAAATATGGACTGTCCAGGACAGCTGCTCCAGCAGCAACACCGCCATCATCAAATCCAGTGTTTTTGGTTCGTAGTAGGTGACCA